AGAGTACAGTACCTACGTGCAGTTCCCTTTGCCTTCAGTCTTACAGACTCCATTTCCAATTACTTAGGTCAACACCACCTACATTCCTTTAAGTGGGATTGTACCATACATCTTTTTATACAGTTAGACTGTTAATCACAGTCTTCATTCCTTCCTAGGATCCCCTGACCTCCTAAATAGGTATTTTTTAAAAATTTGCATACATTAAGTTTCACTCTTTGTGCTATAGAGTTCTATAGGGTTTGACAAATATATATTGTCATATATCCACCATTACAATATCAAATGGAATAATTTCTCCACCCTAAGAATCCTCTGTTTCACCTATTTATCCTTCCTCTCTCTCCCAAAGCCCCAAATAACCATCGATTCTTTAATGTCTCCATAGTTTTGACATTTCAAGAATGTCATATAGTTGGAATCATGCAGTATGTAGTTTTTTCACAAAGGCCTCTATCACTTAGCAATACATATTTATGTTTCCTCCCTATCTTTTATTGTGGCTTAGTAGCTTTTTTCCTGCTGAATAATATTCCATTATATAGATTCACCAGTTTGTTTATCTACCTACTGAAGGACACTTGATTGATTCCAGATTTTGGTGCTTAAGAATAAAGCTGCTATAAATAGGGATGCTGGGGTGGCTCAGTGGTTTAGTGTCTGCCTTTGACTCAGGGCATGATCCCTGGTCCGGGGATTGAGTCCCACAATGGGCTTCCTGTGAGGAGCCTGTTTCTCCCTCTGTCTATGTCTCTGCCCCTCTTTATGTCTCTCTCATGAACAAATAAAATAAAAATCTTAAAAAAAAGCTGCTATATATAAACAGTCTCATGGACATAAGTTTTCAAAATAATTAGATAAATACCCAGGAGCATGATTGCTAGATTATTTGATAAGACTATATTACTTCATAAGTAACTTTGTAAGAAATTGCCAAACTGTATTCCCAAGTGGCTGTACCATTTTTCATTGCTCCATGTCCTTGTTAGTATTTGGCATTGTCAGTTTTTTTTTTTTATTTTAGCCATTTTCATAGTTGTGTAACAGTATCTCATTGTTGTGATTGGCAATTCTCTTTTTGTTTCAAGTTTTAAATTAAATTCTACTTGGTTAACATACAGTGTAATATTGGTTTCAGAAGTAGAATTTAATGATTCATCACTTACATCACTTACAGTGCTCATCACAAGTTCTCTCCTTAATCCCCATTACCCAGTTAGCCCATCCCCTGCCCACCTCCCTCCAGCAATTCTTTTGTTCTCTATAGTTTGCCTCTCTTTCTTTTCTTCTTTCCCTTATGTTCATCTCTTTTGTTTCCTAAATTCCACATATGGGTGAAATCATATGGTATTTGTCTTTCTCTGACTTATTTTGCTTAGCATAATATACTCTAGAGACATCTATGTTGTTGCAAATGACAAAATTTCATTCTTTTTGATGGCTAAGTAATATTATTCCATTGTATGTATTTGTGTATGCGTATATATACATATATATATATATATGTATATATGTATATGTGGTGAGTGTGTGTGTATACCACATCTTCTTTGTCCATTTATCAGTTGATGGATATTTGGGCTCTTTTCATAATTTGGCAATTGTTGATAATACTGTGATAAACATTATGGTACATGTGCCCCTTTGAATCACTATTTTTGTATCCCTTGGGTAAATACCTAATAGTGCAATTGCTGGGTCATAGGGTAGTTCTATTTTGACTTTTTGAGGAACCTCTCTACAGCTTTCCAGGGTAGCTTCACTGTTTACAATTCTCTAATGACAGATGACACTGAGCATCTTTTCATATCCTTAGTTGTCATCAGTATGTCTTATACTTTCATTTAAAAAATAATTGTACATACATGGTACTTTGAAAAGAGTTATTTCAGGGAATGGATGTGATAGACATTCTGTAATGCACTTAAGAGAAGTGTTGAAAACACATTTACTATGGATATATGAGTGTTCACTGCAAGCTACTTTGAGAGGAGTGTTATTTCAGTGAATACTCTAACTGCAGAGAACTGGTTAAAAACACCAGTATAATAAGGATGGTTATATGAGCTGTATGTGCATACTACTTTGAGAAGAATTATTTCAGGGAATGGATGTAATAGAAATTCTGTAATGCAATTACAGAGAAGTGTTTAAAGATACATGTAATGAGGATAGTTATGAGAGTCTCACGTGCATGCTACTTTGGGAAGAGTGTTATTTCAGGGAATGGATGTCTTGCCTTTGTTTTTTGAAGAGTAGTTTTCCTGGATAAAGAATTCTTGGTTAGCAATATTATTCTTTGAGCACCTTGAATTTGTCATCTCACTGTCTTCTGGCCTCTATTATTTCTACTAAGTAGTAGGCTGTTAGATTAGCTATGGCTCCCCTGTACTTTGATTTGAGTTTCCTTTGATTGTGATCAGTCATCTTTCTCTTTTTGTTTTAAAGATTCTTTGTGTGGCTTTCGATAATTTGACCAGATATATCTAGGTATGGATCTTTTTGTTTATCTTAGAGTTTGATGAGCTTCTTGAATGTGCAGATTAATGTTTTTCATCAAATTTGAGATGATTTGGCCATTATTATTTCCTCAATACTTTTTAAAAAAGATTTTATTTATTTATTCATGACGGGGGGGGGGGGGGCAGCAGGAGAAGCAGGCTCCGTGCAGGGAGCCTGACATGGGACTTGATCCCAGGTCTCCAGGATCACACCCTGGGCTGAGGGTGGCGCTAAACCACTGGGCACCGGGGTTGCCCCCTCAATACTTTTATTTTATTTTATTTTTTAAAAGATTGTATTTATTTATTCATGAGAGATACAGAGAGAGGCAGAGACACAGGCAGAGGGAGAAGCAGGCTCCCTTTGGGGAGCCCAATGTGGGACTCGATCCCAGGACTCCAGGATCATGCCCTGAGCTGAAAGCAGATGCTCAACCTCTAGCCACCCAGGTGCCCCACTAATCCACCCAGGTGCCCCTCAATACTTTTAATGTCCCCCTCTTTCTCCTCTTCTTCTGGGAGTTCTATCACTTGTACAATGGTATGTTTGATAGTGTCCCTCAAGTCTCTGAGGCTTTGTTCATTTTGCTTTATTCTTTTTCTTCCTTGTTCTTCAGATTAGACAGTTTCTACTAATCTAGTGCCAAATTTGCTGGTTATTTTCTTCTGTCACTTCAAATCTGTTGGGCTCTTTTGGTAAATTTTTTATTTCAGTTATTGTACTTTGCAAGTCTAAATTATCCACTTGGTTTTTCTAATTTGCATCTCTTTAGTGATATGCTCTGTTTGATGACAAATGCTATAATATTTTTCCTTTATTTTAAAATATGACTTCCCTTAATTCTTTGAACATAGTTATAATTCTTCTTTCAAAGTCTTTTTTCTGGTAAGTCCAACATTTGCTCCCCTCCCAATCCCTGAGGCAATTTCTATTGACTGCTTTAATGCCCTGTGTATAGGTCATACTTTTCTGTTTCTCTGCATGCTACTTTTATGTTAAAAACTGGACATTTTAGGGGCACCTGGGTGGCTCAGTCAATTAAGCACCTGACTCTTGATTTCAGCTCTGGTCATGATCTCAGGGTTGTGAGATCAAGCCCCATGTCAGGCTCTGCACTGGGCAAGGAATCTGCTTGAAATTCTCTCTTCCTCTCCTTTTGCCCCTCCCCTAAAAAAAAGAAAAAAACCTGGACATTTTCCCTATAACCTCCAGGGTTTCTTTTTGTTCCTTTTTTGGTTTGCTTTTTAGTGACTTGCCTGGACTAATTCAGTGGAGTCTGTCTCCCCAGCTGTGCAACCACTGATATCTCTGCTCAGTTATTCTTTTTTCTTTTTTCATTTTTAAAATTTTAATGTCTGAATTCCTAAGGTCAACTTTGGGTCAGCACAGCTTAGTGATCAATAATTGATCCAGATTGATTCAGTAAGGCTTCTATTCTTTGCTAATGGTTTGTGTATGGGTTAAGGAAGTAATGTTTTAGACAATGCCCCTAAGCATAGTTTTTTTCCTTGCTTTGTTCCAGATCAAATCAGCTCCCTTAGGCAGTAAAGCTGTCAGTCTCCACAGCCTGCCTCACTTTAGAACTACCAGGCCTCTGGTGGGGGAGTTAGAGACAGAAGAAACTCCAGGCTAAAACATCACAGACTTCCACTATTCTTACTGAAATCTAATCATTTTTCTTGAATAAATGCTTACCAAAATGTTATATGCCTTTGGTCAATTTCCAAAGTCCTAAAATGGTTGGTTTTGGTAGTTTTGTCAAGTTTTATCATTGCTTTTGGTGGGGGCTTGGGGGGTGGGGGGTGAATTTGCTGAGTTTCTCATTCAGGCTTTCTGGAAATCCTTTCAAATGTTTGACTTTTGTCTGGGTTTTGTTCTTTTTTGTTTTGTTTTGTTTTGTTTTGTTTTTTAACTCTTCTAAAGAACTAAGATTAAGTGTGATTGAAAAAATGAGAAAAGAAAGACAGAAACTCAAGGAAGAAAATAGAAAGCACCAAGCATAATCAGAGCCAAAGGAAAGTTTCATTATATCTAATCCCAAATTAGCAACTGAAGGTAAATTGAGATTATAAATAAAGACTAATAAAAAAAAACAAATAAAGACTAATGACTAAACTTTGGAAGCATGAGTTCTAGGTGATTATGGGAAAAGTGTTCTTTTAAAAATAGTGCTATTTTTTTAAAAAAGATGAACTTTTTTTTTTAAAGATGAACCATTTTGAAGACAAAATTTTTGTTTTTTCTTTTTAAAGATTTTATTTTTAAGTAATTTCTACACCCAATTTGGGGCTTGAACTCACAATCCCAAGGCCAAGAGTCACATACTCTATAGACTGAGCCAGTCAGATGCCCCATTGGAGCCAAAGCTTTCTGATGAATCTTTATCCTATAGCTATCTATAGATTTAGACTAAATTCCTTAGGCAATAGCATAGAGCACAACACAGAAGAAGAAATGCAATCTCATTATTTTATGTTTTCTTGGGTTTTTTCCTTTAGCATCTAGAGGTACTCTATGGAAATCTTGGAAAGAAAGAGTTATAAAGCGACCTGCAACAGCTCATGCTTTAAGACCAGATCAGATGATTAGTGATGAATTTGCAACAAACACAAAGGTTTCAGAAATCCAAGATATGCTACAGGAACTCATAAACACTACAATGTTCAACAAATTGGAAAACAATGCTATTAAATATATATCATCAACAATAGTAAACCTATCTAAAGCTTTGAGTACACTAACTGATGAACTAAAAGTTTTTAACCTCCAAAGTGCCAGTATGTACATAAACGAGACAAATGAAAAAGAAAAAGAGCTCTCGCTGAAGATAATGCGAGAGCTCAGTGAAAACAATGAGATGCTTCAGCAGAAACTGCGAGATGCAGAAGAAAAATATGAATACCTTATTCGGTCTAAAGGTGTTGTACAACCCCGAGGAGGTACAGCATTGCCCGCATCACCCTTGAATGTGTTACCTGAGCTTTCTTCACAATCATCCATTGCTATTAGCAAAGCTGACAGAGAAGACAGTACAGATGATATTTTGGTTAAAGAATTTGAAAATATTCTAGATGAGGCCCAAACAAAAGGGACCAAGGGCTTGGGAATCAAGTGGGACTCAACTATTTCATATACAGCCCCAGTTGAAATAATTCCAGATTTAACTGAAGAGCAATATCCTTTACCTGAAAAAAAACAAAAAGAGGCTTCTGAAGATAAGATATCACTGAAGAAAGGTGATATCCATCAGAAAGATGTGACTGACCAGCATCAATCACAGAAGAAAAAGCAAACTAAAGGCCCATATACACATGAGACCTCTGGGTCAAATCTGAGTGATGATAAAAGTAAAAAGAAAGCCTCAGAGACCAAGTTTGATCATCATTTAGAACTACAGGCACTGGAAAAGAAGAGAAAAGAAATAAAATCCTTTTCTGAAGCCAAATCAAAGCCATCCACTGAATCAAAAAGTCAACATGTCCTTGCTGATTATCCTACTGACACAAAAAGCCAACATGGCAAAGGGGGAACAAGTAGTTTATGGGAACAACTCAGGAAGGTCAAACCTGAGTATTCACATGACAGGAGCCAGATTTCTTCAGAGAATAAAGAGGAACCCACCACTGAGTCAGGGGACAAAGAGGGCATGAGTGAGATGAGCAGCCAAGAAGAGCAATTCAGGTTGACCCAACTTGGTTATTCTCCTCAGAAAGTGAAAACAAAAGGAAAGAAGCACCAAGACCCTCCAGCAACCATCACAAGCAAACAGGGAAAACTTGAAGAGGACATGTTGGTATTCACAAAGAAAGTCAAGTCTCACAGACTTGCTAAGTCACAATCTAAGGTAACAGAAGAGACTTCAGAATCTACCAGAGTTCTTGGAAGTGCAGATGGCAAAAGTGAAGAGAGTAACCTGGAAGAATTTCAAGATGCCATAATAGCTTTCCTAAAAGAGAAAATTGATAACATAGGAAAGCCTTTGGACAAAAAGATTGTGCCAAAAGAGGAGTTATTATTAAAAGGAGCAGAGGTTGAAAAATTAGGAATCATAAAGGCAAAAATAGAGGAATATTTCCAAAATGTGGCTGAAACTGTGACAAAAACCTTGAGAAAATACAAAGATATAAAAAATGTAGGACAAGTTGGAGAGAAACGTATGAAACAAAAAAAGGAAGTCTCATTTATGCCAGGATTGCATTTTCAGAAGCCAATTAGTGCAAAGCCTGAAATTAGCACCTTATTCTCATCTAAGAGCATGGACCCACTAACTGACAATTTAATACAAACAATCTTGACTGAAATAGAAGGGGAAATAAATGCTCCAGTAACCTCAACAGTAGGGAGAGACCACAGGGAAAAGGAAAAACAAAGGCAGGAGGAATATATGCAAGAAGGTCAAGAAAAAATACTTGGTAAACGTCTCAAACACCAGTTGAAAGAAGAAGGGAGTTTCTGGAAGAAGAGCTATGAGGTAATAAATAAAAAACCCCAGGAGGAAGAGTCATGGCTCCAGATGAAGGAAGGAAAGCAAGGACAACGGAAGTACAAACAGTGGCAGGAAGAGGAAATATGGAAGGAGCAGCAGAAACAAAGGATGCAAAAGCGGACTGAGCAAGAAGAGGAGCAAATGCAAAGAAAGGAGGAAGAAGAGTATCAGCAGCCAAAACAGCAGAAGCTGGAAGCATGGAATGAAAAAATGGAAAAACCAGTGGTGCCCTTGGAGAAGGAGAAAGGACAGCAGAAGGAAGTGAGATATCAAGAGCTGGAAATTAATTGGAAGGAAGAGAAGCAGAAGCCAAGAAGAAATGCACAGGACCATGAAGGGCAGTGGCAGAAAAAACCAAAGGATCAGATGAAGATTAATGAGAAAAACTCTGAAGAACTAGAAGAGATGTTCAGCCAAACTTCAATGACATTGTTTCCCAAGTGGAAGAGCATACCGAGAATAACATCCCAGTCACACCAAAGAAAAGAGTTCCTTGGGCGTTTTAAGACATTAGACAGTCCTGCTAGTGGAAAGCATCCCATCCCAACCACTCCTCTCTCTACACAATTACTGTCACCAGAGGCCTTTCCCATTTCTGGACACTCTCCCACAGGGTTCCCCACTCTAACTCCTCAACAGGCCCAGGCACCGGTCATCACTGTTACCTCTCAAAACGCAGAGGCACTTGGAATCACTGTGGCCCCAGAACAGGCCCAGGCACTAGGGATCACTCTCACCCCCGAGCAGGCCCAGGCACTGGGGATCACTCTCACCCCTGAGCAGGCACAGGAACGGGGGATCACTCTCACCCCTCAGCAGGCCCAAGCAGGGAGGGTCACTCTCACCCCTCAGCAGGCCCAAGCACTGGGGATCACTCTCACCCCTCAGCAGGCACAGGAACGGGGGATCACTCTCACCCCTCAGCAGGCCCAGGCAGGGAGGATCACTCTCACCCCTCAGCAGGCCCAGGCACTGGGGATCACTCTCACCCCTCAGCAGGCACAGGAACAGGGGAACACTCTCACCCCTCAGCAGGCCCAGGAACAGGGGATCTCCCTCACTCCTCAACAGGCCCAGGCAGGGGGGATCACTCTCACCCCTGAGCAGACACAAGCAGGGAGGATCACTCTCACCCCTCAGCAGGCCCAGGCACTGGGGGTCACTCTCACTCCTCAACAGGGCCAGGCAGGGGGGATCACTCTCACCCCTCAGCAGTTACAGGAACGGGGGATCACTCTCACCTCTCAGCAGGCCCAGGAACAGGGGATCACTCTCACTCCTCAACAGGCCCAGGCAGGGGGGATCATTCTCACCCCTGAACAGGTCCAGGCAAGGAGGATCACTCTCACCCCTCAGCAAGCCCAGGCACTGGGGGTCACTCTCACTCCTCAACAGGCCCAGGCAGGGGGGATCACTCTCACCCCTCAGCAGGCCCAAACACTGGGGGTCACTCTCACTCCTGAGCAGGCCCAGGCACAGGGGATCACTCTCACCCCTGAGCAGGCACAGGCAGGGAGGATCACTCTCACCCCTCAGCAGGCCCAAGCACTGGGGATCACTCTCACTCCTCAGCAGGCACAGGAACGGGGGATCACTCTCACTCCTCAACAGGCCCAGGCACTGGGGGTCACTCTCACTCCTCAACAGGGCCAGGCAGGGGGGATCATTCTCACCCCTCAGCAGGCACAGGAACAGGGGATCACTCTTTCTCCTCAGCAGGCCCAAACACTGGGGATCACTCTCACTCCTCAACAGGCCCAGGCACTGGGGATCACTCTCACCCCTCAGCAGGCCCAGGCACTGGGGATCACTCTCACTCCTCAGCAGGCCCAGGCAGGGGGGATCACTCTCACCCCTCAGCAGGCCCAAACACTGGGGATCACTCTCACTCCTCAGCAGGCCCAGGCACTGGGGATCACTCTCACTCCTCAACAGGCCCAGGCAGGGGGGATAACTCTCACCCCTCAGCAGGCCCAAACACTGGGGGTCACTCTCACTCCTGAGCAGGCCCAGGTGCAGGGGATCACTCTCACCCCTGAGCAGGCACAGGAACGGGGGATCACTCTCACCCCTCAGCAGGCCCAGGCACTGGGGGTCACTCTCACTCCTGAGCAGGCCCAGACACAGGGGATCACTCTCACCCCTGAACAGGATCAGGCACTGGGCATCATTCTCAGCCCTCAGCAGGCTCAGGCACTGGGCATCACTCTTACCCCTCAGCAGGTCCAGGCACAGGGCATCACTCTTACCCCTGAGCAGTTCAAAGCATTGGCGGTTACTCTCACCCCTGAGAAATGCCACAGCTTAGGTATCACAGTCACCCCTGGGAACGTTCAGACATGGGGGCCACCTCTCACTGTAGCACAGGGTTGGAATTTTGGAGTCCCTCTTACTCCTGAAAATGTGTTGGTGTCAGCTGTCACTTTTACACCTGAACAGATCCAGGCTTTACGTGCCCCTCTCTCTTTGGAACAGGCTGAAGCATTAGGGATTTCCATCTCTCCAGAATACTTCTGGAAATTTGGGGTCCCTCTCACCTCAGATAAATTCCATGCCTTAGAATCTCCCCTTGAACAAGTCCAACCTTTGGGAGCCCCCTTCATCCCAGGACAATCCCATCCCATGGGTATTACTCTCATGTCTGAGGAAGACCAACAATCAAGTGAACAGCCCTCACCACTTGGAGCCCATCCTCCTTTAGAACATACCTTGAAAGTTGGGATCATTCCTGTTACTGATAAATCCATTATACCAGGTGCTTCTCACATTTCCAAGCAGTTCCCCACATTGGCTCCTTCCAGTCCTAGATCATCTCAGAGATTAAAGGCTTCTGTCCTCCCTGGGAAATCCATTATATCAAGCCCCAGGCAATCCCTAGCATCTGCTCCTATTTCTGAGAAGTCCTCTGTATTTGAAGTCTTTTCTACTCCTTTGCAGATATCCAGGTCTCCTCTTTCCCAAGCCCCTGGGAAATTGCTAGGAATGAGAATTCCTCCTGACCCTGGGAAGCTTCTGGCATCACAGACTTTTCCTTCCTCTAAACAGACCCTGGTTTCTGAAGGTCAATCCACCTCTGTTCAATCTGTACCACCAAAAGTCCCTCTGCCTCCTGGGAAGCTTCCCACAGGTGAGGACCTTCCGACTTCAGGGCAGCCCCTTACACTAGAGACCCTTCTTAGTCCTAGGAAGTTCTTTACCTCTTGGAGTCCTCAGCTACCTATGATATCAGAGGCCCCTTTTGCCCTCAGGGAGCCCCTTCTATCTGGAACCCCACTCTCCTCTGCACAGATGCCCAGTCTCTTGGCTCCTCTTTCTCCTAGGAAGCCCTTTGTTCCTGGGGCCTCTTCCACCCTTGAGGAGTTTCTGGAACCTAGACCCTTAACACACTTTGAGGAGCCTCAGGCATTCCAGCCCCCTGCCACCTGTGAACAATCTCCCTATCTACGAGTCCCTTCCACCCTTGAGCAGCATCAAGCTTCCCCACTGCGGATCCCTCCCATCCCTGGGCATCCTCCAGCACTATGGACCTCCCTAACTCCTGGAAAGCCCCAGAAAGATATGTCCTCTTCTGTCTCTAAGGAAACGTTTCAGTCCTATCTTACCGATTACAGGTCACCAGTATCACAAATCCCCTACATTGGTGGGAGAGCCCTTCCCAGTCTCATGAAGCCTCTTACAACTAAACTACCTAAAACATCACAGGTATCTTCTAAATGGGACAAGAAAACCCAGTTCCCCCCTATAGATAAGTCCTGGATATTGACTTCAGATTCAGTTACCAAGAAACACAAGATGATGGTGCCCCCTTCCTCTCCCCAAGAGTTCAAAGAGCAGAGATATTTTGTTGATGTGGAGGCTCAGAGAAAGAACCTGACACTCTTAAATCAGGCCACAAAATCTTTTGGACTCCCTTCACAGCTACACACAACAGCTGCGAATCTCATAATTGAGACATTGCATACGGACAGAGTTCGGCTGGGATACCTATTCCGCAAGTACATTGCTTACAGGCTGATCCAGCGTGCAAGGTAGTTGTAAATATTGAATGTCCAGTTTTCTGGTTTAGTCCTGATTTCAAATATCCTCCCATTTTACATATCTGCCAGATGAGATATTCTAAAATATTCTCTTATAGAAGGTCTGTGGGATGAAGCCTATTTAAGATCCCAAAAGGAGATAAACTTTATTGGAAATAAAAATTTTTAAAAGATTTTTATTTATTTATTCATAGAGACACACACAGAGAGAGAGGCAGAGACACAGGCAGAGAGAGAAGCAGGCCCCATGCAGAGAGCCTGACGTGGGACTCGATCCAGGGTCTCCAGGATCATGCCCTGGGCTGCAGGCGGTGCTAAACCGCTGTGCCACCGGGGCTGCCCGGAAATAAAAAATTATATAAGAATCTATTTCATCCATTTATATATCTAGCAGAGATGCTAAGATATATTTTGTGGATTATAGTTGATCTCCAAAATACCAGCTTCAAAAGCTTGCTTGCAGTTATTCTAAACTTCTAAATATTCTAAATTTCTTTCATCTTCTTGAGTTCACCAGAAGATGTATGATTCTTAAAATGGGAGATGCAGGTTATATACAAAGTGTTGCCATGGCAACTTTGCTGCTGAAGTGACATGGAGAAAATAGGTCCTGGTCTTGATTTTTTAAAAATGCAAATAACAGAAATAGATCAGGGAAAGTGACAATTCTCCTGCTCTCCTTAGCATTTTTATGTGTGAGGTTACCAACCTATTATTTGGTACTTTATTACCTAAAATTATAAGATGCCAAACTAAACCTATATTAGAGAAGGTTATCATTAATTATAGGGAAAACTTATGCTATTTATTCAACAAATATTTATTGAATGCCTATTATGTGGCAAATATTGTATTGGGGCCAGGGATACAGCAGTGAATTAAACAGGCAAAGTAATCTGTTCTCAAGAAATTTACATTTTTGAGGACTGAATTAATTTAGGAACTAAGGATTGGAACAAGGTACAAAAGACAAACTTATTCAAGATAGCATCAGAACATAGATTTCTTTATTTTTCATTCTTTCAAAGTTTTATTTAAATTCAAGTTAGTTCACATATAGTGTAGTATTAGTTTCAGGGATAGAGTTTAGTGATTCATCAGTTGCATACAACACCTAGTGCTCATTACATCAAGTGCCCTCCTTAATGCCTGCCACCCAATTATCCCATTCCCCCCATCCTCCCCTCTAGCGACCCTCAGTTTGTTCCCTATATTTAAGAATCTCTTATGGTTTGCCTCCCTCTTATTTTTCTTTCCCTTCCCCTATTTTCACCTGTTTTATTTCTTAAATTCCACATGAGTGAAATTATATGGTGTCTTCTCTGACTTATTTTGCTTAGCATAATACACTCTAGTTCCATCCACATTGTTGCAAATGGCAAGGTTTCATTCTTTTTGATGGCTGTGTAATATTCCACTATAGATATATATACCACATCTTCTTTATCCATTCATCAGTTGATGGACATTTGGACTCTGCATAATTTGCTGTTGTGGATAGTGCTGCTTAAACAATGGGGTGCATATGCCCCTTCGAATCACTACTTTTGTGTCCTTTGGATAAATACCTAGTAGTGCAACTGCTGGGTCATAGGGCAGCTCTATGTTTAAGTTTTTGAGGAACCTCCATAGTGTTTTCCAGAGTGGCTGCACCAGTTTGCATTCCCACCAACAGTATAAGAGGGTTCCCCTTTTTTCACATCCTTGCCAACATCTATTGTTTCCCGAGTTGTTAATTCTAGCCATTCTGACAGGTGCGAGGTGGTTTTGATTCGTATTTCCCTGATGATGAGTAATGTTGAGCATTTTTTCATATGTCTGTTAGCTGTTTGTATATCTTCTTTGGAGAAATATCTGTTCATGTCTTCTGCCCATTTCTTGACTGGATTTATTGTTTTGGGGGGGGTTTAAAAAGAATTTTAGTAACTTCTTTATAGACTTTGGATACTAGCCCTTTATCTAATAAGACATTTGTAAATATCTTCTCCCAAAAGTTGCCTTTTACTTTTGTCTACTGTTACTGTTGCTGTGCAGAAGGTTTTTATCTTGATGAAGTTCCAATAGTTCATTTTTACCTTTGTTTCCCTTGCCTCTGGAGATGTGTCTGGTAAAAGATGTTGCTGTGTCCAAGGTCAGAGAGTTTTCTGCCTGTGTTCTCTAGGATTTTGATAGATTTCTGTTTCACATTTGTGTCTTTCATCCATTTTGAATTTATTTTTGTGTACGGTGTAAGAAAGTGGTCCCATTTCATTCTTCTGCATGTGGCTGTCCAAATTTCCCAACATCATTTTTTGAAGACTTTCTTTTCCATTGGAAGATTGGTTGACCCTCTAGTTGAGGGTCCATTTCTGGCTTCTCTATTCTGTTCCATTGCTCTATGTAGCTGTTTTTGTGCTAGTACCATACTGCCTTGAGGATTACAGCTTTGTAATAGAGCTTGAAGTCCCAAATTGTGATGCCTCCAGCTTTGGTTCTCTTTTTCAATATTGGGTATTTGGGGTCTATTCTGGTTCTTTACAAACTTGATAATTGGTTATTCCAGCTCTGTGAAAAAGGATGGTGTTGTTGATAGTGAGATTGCATTGAATGTGTAGATTGTTTTGGGTAGTAAACATTTTAAAAATATTTGTTCTTCCAATCCATGAGCATGGAACATTTTTCCATTTCTTTGTGTCTTCCTCAACTTCTTTCATTAGTGTTCCATAGTTTTCAGAGTATAAATCTTTTACCAAGTCTTTGGTTAGGTTTATTCCTAGGAATCTTACAGTTTTTGGTATAATTGTAAATGGGATCAGTTCCTTGGTTTCTCTTTCTGCTACTTCATTATTGGTGTATAGAAATGCAATAGACTTCTGTGTACTGATTTTATATTTCGCCACTTTGCTGAATTCCTCTATCAGTTCAAGCAATTTTTTTGGTAGAGATTTTTGGGTTTTCTCCATAGAGTATCATGTCGTCTGTGAAGAGTGAAAGTTTGACTTCTTCCTTGCCAATTTAGATGCCTTTTATTTCTTTTTGTTGTCTGATTGCTGAGGCTAGGACTTCTAGTACTATGTTGAATAACAGTGGTGAGAGTAGACATACCTATTATGTTCCTGACCTTAAGGAAAAGCTTTCAGTTTTTCTCCATTGAGGATGATGTAATCAGAATTTTTTTAATTTAATTTTTTTTTGTAATCAGAACTTTTAATTGCAAAGTGTAAGTATCTGAGATTTGCTGAAAAATATTTTACTCTAGATCTGTCTTTGGCTTTCTCTTTCCAGACTGAATATTCCTAGAATTTTTTTTCTTTTTGCAAAATGAAAAATATTTAATACACCAAAAAAGCACAACAGAATCAACAGGTATTAAAAGCATTACATAGTGCAAAACCCAAAAAGAAACAGAGCTACTAACTTTCTGTGCTTACAATGACCAGGCAATGGTGGCACTTGGGTGGTTGTCAGTTAAGCATCCAACTCTTTTTTTTTTTTTTAAAGATTTTATTTATCCATTCATAGAGATGCAGAGAGAGAGAGAGAGAGAGAGGCAGAGACACAGGCAGAGGGAGAAGCAGGCTCCATGCAGAGAGCCCGATGCGGGACTCAATCCAGGGTCTCCAGATCATGCCCTGGGCTGCAGGCGGTGCTAAACTGCTGTGCCACCGGGGCTGCCCCAACTCTTTTTTTTTTTTTTTTTTTAGTATTTTATTTATTTATCCATGACAGACACAGAGAGATGCAGAGAGAGGCAGAGACACAGGCAGAGGGAGAAGTAGGCTCCATACAGGGAGCCCGGCGCGGAACCCAATCCTGGGTCTCCAGGATCAGGCCCCGGGCCGAAGGTGGCGCCAAATCGCTGAGCCACCTGGGCTGCCCAAGCATCCAACTCTTGATCTCAGCTCACGTCTTGACCTTAGGGTTGTGAGTTCAAGGTCTGTGATGGGCTCCATGCTGGGTGTGGAGCTACTTAGAAAAAAAGAAAAAGGGATCCCTGGGTGGCGCAGCGGTTTGGCGCCTGCCTTTGGCCCAGGGCGCGATCCCGGAGACCCGGGATGGAATCCCACGTCGGGCTCCCGGCGCATGGAGCCTGCTTCTCCCTCTGCCTGTGTCTCTGCCTCTCTCTCTCTCTCTCTCTCTCTCTGTGACTATCATAAAATAAAAAAAAAAAAAAAAGAAAAGACTAGACAAGAACACATGAAAATATCTCCTTTCCAGGGAGATCACTGGGTGGCTCAGCGGTTCAGCACCCGCCTTTGGCTCCGGGAGTGATCCTGGAGTCCCAGGATGGAGTCTTGCGTCGGGCTCCTGGCATGGAGCCTGCTTCTCCCTCTACCTGTGTCTCTGCCTCTCTCTCTATGTCTATCATGAATGAATAAATAAATAAATAATCTTAAAAAAAAAAGAAAGAAAATATCTCCTTTCCTCACTTAATGATCTGGCTACTATTAGAAGAGTTATTTTAAATTGCTTTTTTGGTTTATGAAAACACATTTGCTACCCCTGTTGATTATGCCTACCTGATCACATGTGTTATTTGGAAAACTGCATATAATGACAGTGCATTTTGTGCCACCTCCTCAAGTGTATATAGAAAATTTTGGTACATGAAGACCATAGTGACTAGTAAATGTTTTGCTTCTTCCTTACCAATTTGGATTCCTTTTATTTCTTGCTGTCAACTAATTGCTGTGGCTAGGACTTTCCAGTACTATGTTGAGTAAAAATGGTGAGAGTAGATATCCTTGCCTTATTCTTGACCTTAGGGGAAAAGCTCTGTTTTTCATCATAAATTCCACTTGATTGTAGTGAATTTTTTTAAATGTATTCTTAGATTTGGTTTGCTAATACTTCATTGAGGATTTTTTTTTTAAGATTTTTATTTATTTATTCATGAGAGACACACACAGAGAGAGAGGCAGAGACACAGGCAGAGGGAGAAGCAGGCTCCATGCAGGGAGCCTGACGTGGGACTCGATCCCGGGTCTCCAGGAACAGGCCCTGGGCTGAAG